GGAAGGTGAGCATCATAGAATGCCAATTTAATAGAAGAAGGTATTCTTGCTTTGAGGGAGTACTTGAGTGGAGGCCCAATGTCCTTCTGCTACCTTAATACTAAACCTATAAATATAGGCTCATAGATCTGTTTCCTCATCCTCATATAAATATATTTGTGTATGTACATGTCTTTATCTAGACCTGTATAAATGCCCTTTTCCTCCCAGCTCTTTCCCCTATTTCCCTTGATTTTCCTCCTGTCCCACTAAAAAAACAAGCATTGTGTGGCAACATCTTGATGATTACGTTTGTGTACTTAGAATGTCAAGAAACTCATTGTGAAGTATAAAATAATTTAGAATGATATTTGCTCACTCTGAAATTACCACAAAATCATGATGATCTTGGACTCTCAATATATTAGCAATAAGAAATAAAATGAATCTCAGTAGTTGTGGAGAAAATTGCCTTGGAGAGGAAGGTGTCATTTTCACTTATTCTTGGTGTCTTTCAGGATTTTGAACTGTGGGATGATGTAGGTTTAAATATCCCTAAACCTCCAGACTTACTTCAGCTCTACCGAGATTTTGGAAATCACCAGGTGGCTGGGAAAGATGTAGTGGACGTGGCCAGTGGAGTGGAAGAAGACGAACTAGAGGCTCTCACACCAGTTTTAGGCAACCTGCCTCCAACCTTTGAGACACCTCAAACTGTGGAGGTGAGAGACCACCTAACTGGCTAAGTCTCCCAAATTAATGGAAGCTATATAAAAGCTTACTATGAGATGATCAGTTTCTGTTTTTCTCCCATTTTGATTTTAGAATTCCTTGCTAGTACAGAAATTAGAAGATAAAATTAGTTTACTCAATAGTGAGAAATGGTCCTTGATGGAGCAGATCAGAAGACTTGAAAGGTAAATGGTTGGTCACTATTTCTAAAGAGGCTCTTATACATTTAAGAAAAATTGGCAGATAATATAAATAAATGAAACTGTCTCTTTTGTAAGGTACAACTTTTTCCACACTTCTATATGTCAGAAAGTGAATCTTATAATCGATTCATCTATTTAATGTAGTAAATCTCCTTTTTTTTTTTAAAGTTATTAAATCATTAAAGAGATTTATAATTGATTGTCTTAGAACCAAGAAGTGAGACACTTGATTTCTCTTAAGTTGTAGTTATTCATTATTAATGAATAACTCCTTGACATCTGTCTTAGGCATGTACCTCATTCATGATTTTATTTCATGCTTACAATAATTCTTTGGATTAGATTGAATTCTCCCATTTTGAAAATGAAGAAAAGGAAGTGTTTTGGGGTTTTGGGGTTGTTTAATAGTCATGATCTAATAGTGGAAATGTAGTTAGCAAAATGTAAAGTGGGGTTTATTATAAAAGACCATTTAAAAAAAATCATTTTATTAAGGGCTCATACAACTTTATCACAATCCATACATACATCAGTTATGTAAAGCACATTTGTACATTCATTGCCTAAAAGCCATTCTCAAACTTAATTGTAGAACTAGACTTTTTGGTTTAGATATGAGGCATCCCCGTATATAGTGCTGAAAAGATTAATACTCAAAAATGTTTTCTATTAATGTGTTATGCCTTTAAAACATTGAGCACATTTTAAGTTTATACTTTTGCCAAAGGTTTAAATAGTACCAGTGCTCACTGTTAACTTCTCTTTCTTTCTACAGTGAAATGGACTTCCTCAAAAATGAACCCTTTGCCTCCCCAGTGGTTTGTGACTCTGTTAAGCCTTCTTTGGAGCAGCCCACCCCCCAAAACTCTGAAGACAGAGAACAGAAGCCAGTTGTAAATAGTTCAGACAAGGAAAAAAGCAATGATATTCCTCTTTCAGTATCAGATGGTGTTGATTCCACTACTTCTAAAGAGAATTCCTCAAATTGCCTCCCCAGGAAGGGAAGGGAAGGAATGCCGTCTTCTTCTCCACCGAGTAAAAATGCAGTTCAGTTCGATAAGCCTAATAGGTTAGTATGTTTCCTATAGTTTAGAATGCCTCATTTAGCTGTTCAGCACATTGGCAGAGCTGTAGTTCTCGAACTGCTTTTGCCAGTCAGATCTATGAATTTTTACATTGAGAGTGAATTTTCCACAAAGTAAAGTACACGCCATAAAAACATGCCCAAAGTTGTCACTAAATTACCTAAAAGGTGAATTAACAGTCCGTGTGTTACAGTCTATCTCAGTTAAATATTAGACTCACAAGTGATAGGTGTTCTAGTATCACTGGTGCAATGACTGCCCAAAGGACAAACAAATCTGTCTTGGAAGAAATACAGCCAAGATCCTCTCTGGGAGTGAGGGTTGCAAGACTTCATGCTATGTACTTTGGACATGTTACCCGGAGAGACCCACCTCTGGAAAAGGATATCATTCTTGTAAAGTGGAGCGGCAGCGAAAAGTCAGAAGACCCTCCACAAGTTGGATTGACATGGTGGCTTCAATGATGCACTTAAATGTGACCACAATGGTGAGGATGGTGCAGGACCAGACAGAGTTTTGTTCTGTTGTACTTATGGTCGCTATGAACCGTAACCACCGCGATGGTACCTAGCAACAACAAGTATCGCTAGTGTCTTAAACACTTCCACACAGTGCTTTTGAGGTTTTTTTATTCTTCCATCATCATCATCAGGCTCAGAAGTTTTTGGTATATGCATAATTGCCAATGCTAAAAAGAGCATTTATTTTTTAATTTTTCCTCGTTCTTTTTCTGTATCTTTTCTAGTACTAATTCTGTATCATTAATTTTTTCTTTATTTAACTTTTATTGGATCTCAGAAATTGAAATCTGAGTCCTACCTGATCATGTTTTCTAGTGGGAGAGACAAAATATAATTTAAAAATTATTCTAGTATAAAAATTAATTTTCAGAAAAATATTTACGTAGCTCTTATTGTAAACATTTGGCTGCTAACCTAAAGGCCAATGGTTTGAACTCACCAGCTGGTTTGAAAGGGAAAGCTGTGGCAGTCTGCTTCCCTGAGGATTACAGCTAAGAAAAACTCTGGGGGAGTTCCACTGCCATACAGGGTCATGAGTCGGAATTGGCTCCACAGCAAGAGGTTAGTTCTATCAGGGAGTACTGTAAGTGGTTTCAAGGCACTCATTTCATAGCCTCGGGTGCTGTTTTAGCTGAAGGTCATGCTTTCTCCTCCTGGTCTACAAAGGCAGATAATTGCAGTGTCACGGTTTAATAGGAAAGAATGGCTACTTTGTTTTAGGCTAGTAGAACTGATAGAATATTAAAGATACATATTTGATGACTTATTTATTTGAAAGAAAAGTTATCCAATGAGCCCCACTTTTTTTTGTGTATCTTCTATGTACAATTTTTCTTTAGGTACGTAGTGGTTAGAGAATTCATACAGACATGACCCAATTCTTAAGTCAAAGTCTAATACAGGTAAAATAGGTCATAAAAATCTATATTAATGATTCTGAACAATAACTGCCTTTGTAAGGATTCTTTAATATTCTGGAATGCTTCCCGATGTCTCTGCAAAGTCACCCTATGGAGATGATGGTTATTTTTGTGCGACCACTTTTTTTAATCTCCTGCCAGGTACTATCACAGGAATATGTAGCAATCCCTTCAGTCACAAACCTAATAAGCTATATGAGAGAGGCGAACAAACAGCAAATGCAATAAGGTACCGAAAAAAAGCAATATAAGAAAAGTACAACTTCCTTTGGGAATATAATCATGTCACAACAACTCTTGTCATCAAAGCACAAAGGGTTTACTGAAGAAGTGAGATCTCATCTGAGACCTGAAGACTTAATTAAGTAGGAATTAATCAGGCAAAGAGGTAAGAGGCAGAGTACCAGACTAAGAGAGAAGAACATCATGTTCAAAGAGGACATGACAGAAAATTAAATTGGAGATTCAAGGCAGACCAAGTAATATAAGCCTGTTTTTAATTCATTTTTCAAGAGGAAGGACATGGTGGAAGTTTTAGAATGGCCCTGTCAGGTGGAGGTGACTGGAGGGAAGGAAAACTTGTATGGTATCTATTATAAGAAATGATTAAGTCTACATAGCATTGGCAGGAAAGATGGAAAGTAGATAGATTGATATTTCTGAGGTAGAAGATTGAGTAGAGATGGGGTTAAAAGAGAGGAGAAAACCAAGGCTGACCGGAAAGTTGGACATTTGGACAGATTATAGTACTGAGAATATGGAAGGAAAAATGTTAATGAGCAAGGACTAAAGTGCCACTCCGTGGTGTGCTAACTCCATTAGGTAATTTCTTAAGCCTTGATGGTATAGGAGGTAAGCATTTGCTTTCCAGTTGAAAGGTTGACAGTTTGAATCCACTAGCCTCTGTAGGAAAAAGATATGGCAGGGTGTGTATGTAAAGATTATAGCCTTGAAAGCTCTATGGGGCAGTGATACTCTGTCCAATAGGAGTACAGGAGTGGGCTTGGTTTAGGACATGTAATTTTTCAGTATGAATTACACCTCAACCTGAAGAAACTGAAGATCCTCATAACTGGACCAATAACAACATGTAAACAAAGAAAGTACCTAAGTAGTGAAGGCATTTCTTTTACTTGGGTCCACACGTAATGCCTGTGAAAATAGTGCTAAGTTGAAAAATCAAATATTGTACTGCATTGGGCTAGCTGCTACAAAAGACCCCTTGAAGGCGTTAAAAATCAGGATGACACCTTGCGGACCGAGGTGTGTCTTATCCCAGTCATGGTTACTTTTAATTTCCCGTGTGTACAAAAGCTAGACAATGAATAAGGAAGACCAGAGAATTGATGCCTTTGAATTAATGATATTGGTAAAGAATATTGACTATACTACTGGCTGTCAGAGGAGTAAACAAATTTGCTTTAGAAGTCAGAATGCTCCTTTGATGTGAAGGTGCTGACATCTTATTAAGATGGACCAGTTCCTGGAGAAGGACATCGTGCTCGGTAAAATTATCAGTGAATAAGAGTAAGGCCCTTGGCTAGAAGGATTGACACAGTGGCTTAACAATGGGCTCACACATAGCAGTGTTCGTGAAGATGACATCGGACCGGGCAGTGCTTTGTTCTTTTGTACATAGAGGATTACTGTGAGTCAGAACCAACTCCCTGGTATCTTAACAACAGCCACATAGAAACCAGTGTTTTAGAAATGTAAGTGAGGATTTTAATGTCCCCATTTACGTAAATTACTTAATATTTTTAATTGTACAAAGTTAGCATTCTTTCAAAGATACCGTGAATGCTGAGTGAACCTCTTTCTTTTATCTCTAAATTATACATCTTTCATGTAGGCTTCTGGCGTGAAAGTTTATCCTGTATCTGAAACTCTGAAATACTTTGATTCTTCTCAACAGCATGCCAGGCCAGCCTTATATTTCTGTGACCTTAAGGAATTGACTGGAATATATCCTCATTTTAGATTATGCAAATGGTTTCATTTACCTATATTCAACTTCAGCCCACTCACCTTTAAAGGATCATTCATTCACTCAGGCTACTTCAGATGCAGCGATTACTGATGGTCTTTTTCCCTGTATGATTTGCTAGTAAAAGGCCTTTCAAGTCATGGGTGGCTAAAACATCTGGCTGATGTTCGGAGGCCTTGGGTTAATGTTAGAATAGGAGTTGTAACATTCAATCTGCTCCTTAAATGTCCCTGATAAACTCTGTGGTATTCTTTTCATCCAATGTTTTCTTCTAGGAAATTGTCTCCTGCTTTCCACCAAGCACTACTCTCATTTTGTCGAATGTCAGCAGATAGTCGTCTAGGGTCGGAGGTAAATTATATCATATAGATCTTCAAACATTTTGATGTTTTCCTTCTTAGTATCTCTAGCCAAACATAGCTGTAATTAGTCTATATTTCTTACACAAATCTGTTTACAATAATATTCTAAGAAGTTCTTCCTAAAGCATTAAACTTTTAAAGAAGGTGGTTGAGTATTTCTGGTTTTGGATTAAAGCTTTGTTTATTAATATTAAATTAAATACTGATACATGGTGCATGTTTCTCTTTGATACAATTTGGGGATTCAGTTTGAGTGTCCACTGTTTCATTTTCTCTTAATCCATTATTTTCATTTCATTGGAAACTATTCGAATGACTGAGTTTGTTAGTTGTTAATCCTCACTAAGTTTTCCTCAAGTATTTTGCAAGTATAGTGGCAGGCTCATGTTGAGATGGGTTTTCTTTTCCTCACACTTGGCTGTATAGTCATTCTGTGGTTAATTCCACTTGTCCCCCACGTATGGCTCTTCATTGCAGTGCCATTGGTGATAATCAAGAGCTAGTGGATGGCTTAGATGCATTTCTGCCCATTTTTATTGCATAACTTGGTTTGGGCCACTGGTAATGCCCAGCTCCTTTATACAAACTAGTGCTAGGCAGTGATTTTGCAGCTTTTTAGGTTTCTTTTCAAGGTTGAAGGAAACCAGTCAGGCTGCCCTCCAAAAATCCACACCAAACTCACTGCCATTGAGTTGATACCTACTCTTAAGTGACCCAATAGGACAGAGTAGAACTGCCTCTGCGGGATTCTGAGACTAGTTCTTTACAGGAGTAGAAATCCTCCTCTTTCTCCCATAGAACGGCTGGTGGGTTGGAACTGCTGACCTTGTGGATGACAGCCACACATAACCAGCAACACTACCAGGACACTAGCAGGGCTCCTTGAGGCTGCCCTCATTCTTTGCTATCCATACTAGGATACAGAAGTGAGTTAACAGACCACCTTGGTTGGTTCCGATGTTTTTAATTCACCTCTGACCCACAAGACTGTTAGGCCTGTTTAGAGGAGCAGTTATTGTCCTCGTATTGTAATGTGTGTTTGAAGCAGAGGTAGAATGTTACCATCCTCAAATACCACTGTGCACAGAAGGTTCTCTCCTGTGGTCGTTTATTAACTCTTTGGCTTTCTAGGTGTCTCGGATTGCAGACAGTGAAAAGAGTGTGATGCTAATGCTGGGACGCTGCTTGCCCCACATTGTCCCCAACGTGCTGCTGGCAAAGAGAGAGGTGAGACAAGAGATTCCCATTCCAACACTCTCATCATGTCCATTGTTTTTCATTTTGAAGTTTAGTGTTATATTTTTATTTTATTGTAGTCTATTACTTGCAATCATATTCTTACTTTTGTGCATGCATCTCTGCTCCTAGAGAATGGTTTTACACCTCTGTCAGGTGAGTTCAGTAAAACTGCATGGTATTCCTGTTTTCCCCGTTTTGCACAAAGCATCATTAGCTTCTGCAGTGCTAACTATTACTGTAGGTCCATTTCTGTGCCCTGAACACTGTCTGATGTTTACACTACCAGCTAACTAATTCCCTCTATCTTTGCTTTTGACGTGATTTGCTTGATGTGTCTACATAAGTGGACACTTTCAGATGGAAAATTAACAGGGACTAATAATGTTGTTCTTTTCTTTGATGTACTTGTAGTTTCTTATTACAAATGTTAGTTTTAGTCTGTTTGTCAATAAATTATACTTATAACTTATAGTAGTTGTAATGTTGGCCAAAGTAACTGTAAAATTTTATACTTTCTGTGTTTTCTTAGATAGCTAGCCTGATTTCACAGATGCTAAACTCTTCACCTTTCAGTTACATATATACTTTAATACACCTAGCCTATGTTATCAGCTATACATACTATTGGAAGTTACATTCATGGTTCTATGTAGCCAATAAAAGTTTACTGAAGTTTACCTGTTACTGAATAATTTGTTAGTAAAGGAAGTTAGTTATTTGCAATTTTCAATTTATGAATAAATTTCCAGTTTGTGAATCTTCAATGGAAAAACATTGATTTAAAACACTTAAGAATGCACCCTTAACTTCCACTGTTCTCAATATTTACCATCTCTTTTAGTCATAATTATTAGGGGACCTACAGTATGATAAGTACATAATGCATTGGCAAAGCCATTTAAAGCTTATCTTTATCTGTTTAGCATTAGAAATTTGTACTGATCCTCAAGAAAACTTCGACTTAGAATAAACATGCTTTAACTTTTATTCCTTTAGGTATTTTTATACTTAAAGAAGAAAAAAGACTATGTTTTCTTATTGATAATTTCATTTCACTTAATTATTTTTAAATAGTTGGAAGCTGTAAGGATGGAAACTGACTGTCTTGAAGGATCAGTGTCTAATTTCGAATGGTTTTGCTGTTCTTCCTGGCAGAATGGTGTTTGAGCTTCTTTTCTGTTGTCAGCTTGTAACATAATCCGTGTAATGAATGCTCTGGTGTTTGCAACCCTTCTACTGTTTCTTTAATGTAAGCTTAAGATATCACAGAAACGTAATTATCATGAGATCCAAGTTTTAGCTTTTTCATTTTAATTTTCCATAATCATAAAAGACCCTACCATAGAAATTTGATTGTATACTGCATGAAATACCTTTAAATCTGCATCATCAGTTATCAGATATGTTATATATGTGTGTATATATATGCATATATACATATATGTTTTTAATTTTGTGGTACGATGCTTTTCTGGCTGATTTTTTAATTTGTTATATTTGGAAAAAAAACATGTAATTTCATGAATAATGATGAATTACCTGTGTTTGGTCAATTGGTTGTACCATGTTGTAGCTTATCAGAAAATGTGTCATTTATCTTATGCTAAAGTTGTACACTCTTAATATTTAATTGATAAATCATGACATATCTTGGTTTGATTTGAAACTAATCCTTGGATGAGAGAGACACAAGTTTTGTCTCATTACATCTCTTGATATTTGTATTTAATATCAATTAATTACCTTATATTTAATATCCCACCCTAGTTCAGTAAATCTGTATTCAAATAAGCTTTTATGATTTTATGATTGAAGGAGTAATGTGTTAGGCTACGTTGACTAGTCCATAAGACTCAAGTGGCCACATGCAATGATGCCCAATGCAGGGAGATCACAGGTTGGTGGGTGCAAAGTTGTGTGGATCCAATGACAGTAGCTCTGGCAGCAATCAGGGTCAATCAGCAGGAAGGTGAAGGCAGGGCGCGGGGAAAAAAGGGTGTAGTGCCTCCCAGGGTCCTCCTTATGAGCCGGCCATGCCCACAAGGAGGTACCATCAGGCTGTGACCTGATTGACAGGCTAGACTCCACCTCTACACTTTTATATATCTTCAGGTTGATAAGAAATGATGTAACTACCACAATTAGGTTTTATTTTGGTGTGTTTTAACTAATATCTATATAAATATTATGTAAATACAAGGCAAATATTCTGAAAACAGATCAATTAAGGAACAGTTCATCTTGGAGATCTTAGCTAAGTATGTGTTCACAGTTTTTAAGGTTTTTTAATTTAAAAAGATATAAAATGAAGACCTCTTTCATGTCCCAGAACCACTGCCCTACATGCTATAAATTTTACTAACTTATAGAGGAATCATTGAGATTTTTTTTGTTCATGTATTAGCAGATATGATCTATTTCTTGTGTTGTACACAAATGATATCATACCTTAAGTGCTGTTATTTTTCCCACATAATACTATTTTTCTTATATTTTTCACTCTCAGTATGTAAGGAACTTTCTCATCCTAAGGATGGATGATATTGGTCTTTTAGTTGTCTTTTTGCACTTCATTCTCACCATGAAAAAGTAAACATTTTACATTATGTACTCATGTATAAATATCATCTGTATACATAAATATATATTGGCTTCAAAAAGTTCCTGGAAAAATTCAATTATCTTTTAAGTCTATTTTTCTACAGACTTTATTTTCCCTTTTTTTCTTTTAATCATTTTATTGGGGGCTCTTACAGATTTTATCACAATCCATATTTGTACATATGTTTCCATCATCATTTTCAGAACATTTTCTTTCTACTTGAGCCCTTGGTATCAGCTTTCCCCCCCCCTCCTCCACCCTTCCTCCCTCATCAACCCTTGATAATTTTTTTTTAACGATTTAAAACTTTACAGAGTAAATTGGTTTTCCATTCAACAATTCATACATTGATTTCAGTCCCCAAGATACACCAGCCTTCTTCCCACTTCAGCCCTTCTTGGTTTTTTTTATTATTCATCCTGCTTTCCTGTTCCTTCTTGCTTTCAAGAGTTTTTATCCATAAGCAAATGCCGTCCTTTTGATTTAGTATGGTTGGTGTTCTAAGGAGTGTATAACTCTCAGATATTATTCTTCCCCTCCGAGCCTGTATATTGTTGGGCTGAAAGCTGAGTCAGAGGAGTGAGTACAGGTCCAAGAGTGAAGGGCTTGATAATTTATTTAAAAATTTGTTTCATGTCTTACACCAACCCCGGTCTCCCTTCACCCACTATCCTGTTGTCTGTCCCCCTGGGAGGGGGTTTCTGTAGATCATTGTGATTAGGCCCCCTTTTCTTCCCCCACCTTCCCCTTACCCTCCTGGTATCACTACTTTCACTATTGGTCCTGAGGGGTTTATCTGTCCTGGATTCCCTGTGTTGCGAGCTCTTATCTGTACCAGTGTATATGCTCTGGTCTAGCCGGATTTGTAAGGCAGAATTGGGATCATGATAGTGGGGAGGAAGCATTAAAGAACTAGAGGAAAGTTGTATGTTTTGTTGATGTCATACTGCACCGTTAACTGGCTTGTCTACAGATTTTTTAAATCCCCTTCTTACATACATATTTGAACTAAAAATTTCATGTATCAAGGCTTCCTTTACACTTTCAAAAGTTAAAGTGGAAGACAAGCAATAGCAAGTATGCTTTTATAAATATTTCATATATAAAAGTAGAAATCACAGCTACAGTTGGTGTTTAGCATTGTTTATTTTTATTTTTTTATTTTAAAATTAGAAAAAGGGCCTTCCTCAAACAGATTACAGTAACTTATTATCACGTTTTCTAAATTTAGCATAATATATTTCAAGTTTAAGAACAGTTGATTATAACAATTCCATTCCTCCAGGCAAGAAAAGGAACTTTGATGGTAAAATGGTTAAAGTGCTGAGTTGCTAAACCAAAAATCACTTGTTTAAACCCACCAGCCAACCTGGAGGTTTCACTAAGATGACAGCCTTAGAAAGGCACAGGGCCAGGTCTTGGTCCTATTGGAGTGCTATGAGTCTGCTCCAGGAACAATTGTCACCTCCCAACCCCTACTCTGAGTCACATTCAACTCAGCTAACCTGACAACAAAAGCATCTGGGTTTTCCAACATTCTAATTGTGACCTATATTTGTTATCTCTAGGGATGACTTAACTACTTCACTATGGATTTTACTCTTTTATTTTGCTAATGTCTTCTTCAGTCATTTCTACTCCCTCTCTGATTTTCGTACCTTTAGATGATTCATAATAATTATGTTGATTTTTAGAAGTTTAAAATATGTGTGTCTGGTACAGATAGGAACTGAAAACACAGGGAATCCAGGGTGGATGATCCCTTCAGGGCCAGTGGTGTGAGTGGCGATAGAGTTACAAATGTACAAATGTGCTTGACACATGGATGTATGTATGGACTGTGATAAGAGTTGTATGAGCCCCCAATAAAATGATTAAAAAAAATTAAATGGAACACACAAAAATCATTATCCTGGGGGTGGGGGCGAAAACAGTATTTGAAAATTGTATCATTTTACACACACACACATACAAGTGGTGTGAGTGGCGATAGATAGTGAGTTAGAAAGAGGGAACCGATTATAAGGGTCTATATGTGACCTCCTCCCTGGGGGACGGACAACAGAAAAGTGGGTGAAGAAGGGAGACATTGGACAGGGTAGGATATGACAAAATAAACAATTTATAGATTATCAAGGGCTCATGAGAGAAGGGGGAGCGGGGAGGGAAGGGAAAAAAATCAGGACCTGATGCCGGGGGCTTAAGTGGA